TTTTAAGGATATAAATTTTATATTTTTTCAATTTAAGGATTTTTTTAGGTGATGATAATGATTTGACAAACAACAATCTTAGCAAAGTTTGTACCCTAAATAAAAAAAATTAGAAAGTTTATATTTTTCAATAGAGAAAATTAAAAGTTTACTGCTGACTTAGAAACTTGAAAATTTTGTATCCTTAAATAGAGAAAATAGCAAAGTTTTTATTCTTATTTAAACCTTTACTCATAATTTGACATTAATTTCAAGAATTTGCCCTAAATTTATACCAAGAATTTTGTCCATTAATCATCCCGTTTCCCTAGGGGTGGCAATTTCCCTTAATCCCTAAGAGGCCCAATGGGAATCATCGTAACAGGGTGGGGCAAGTAGGAATATTCCTCACCATGGAGTAAGGGCTGGGGGCATTTTTCATTGTGAATTTATACCAAGAATTTTCCTCACATTGTAGGGATCTTTATCCCATAAAAATTAAAAAATATATAAATTAATTTTATTTTAAATTTAACCTAACCCAATACATTATAATACATTCCAAGCCCAACTCAATAAAAATTAAATTTAGCCCAATTTTACACAACCCAACCCAACCCATATCTAAGTCTAAGTCTAACCCTAACCTTATTGATTACACTTAATTTAGCCAAAGCCAAAGAAACTGCCAACAACACTCATTATTTCTCAATTTCTCTCTCTCGGCCTTTTACCTTTGCCTTTCTCCTAACCCAATATCCCTAAGTCCTCCCGCTACCACCTATCGCTTGCTAATCTACTAGAGATGTTGTTGGACTATATAGTCTATACTATTGTTGGATTGCTACTTGACTACATTGCTATTGTTGAACTTGCCTTGCTTTTAAACTATTGCCATTGAAGCCATCTACCAATCTATCAGAGTTGTTGTCAAACTACACACTTTACACTACTACTGGACAACTGTCAAATCTACCTTGCTTTTGGACCATTGTCAAATCTACACTACTTTTAGCCTACTACTTTGGACTATTGGACTTCTTCTTTGTGTTGCCACTTATTGTGCTAAAGCCATTGAAGCTACTAGACTATTGGGCTCTGTGTTACCGAACTTTGTGTTGCCATACTAGTTCACCTGTAAATCCAAAGCTAGGTATTCAAGTTTGAAGCAATCTCTCTCTCTCTCTCCCTCTCTCTTTTTTCCTAGTGCAAAACAGTTTGTTCTTAAGGTTGCTAATTCATAAAAAGTGAAATGAATTCATATTGATTAATCTAAATTAAGTATTTGGTTCATCATTGATTATGTTCCATATTGCTTCGCAAAAGTAGAATATCTTGCAAATAACAAAAACATGATTATGCTATACTTAGAGAGAATATCCTACAAATAACAAAATAATAATAATAATAATAATAATAAATATAACTAAAGTAGAAAAATTAGAAACATGAAGCATGAAGTGAATCCCTTTTAGTTTCTTTTATTCTAGTGGTTGGAAGTTTAAAACACATTTGCTTAACACTTTTTTTCTTAAATTTATTTTTAAGTGATAAATGTCTAATACACAAGAGCAGAGTGTTGATGGATCATTTTGAGCTTCATTGCCAATTCAAATTCTCAATGAATCAAGTGTAGTTATATGGCGAGCTCTCTTACAACACCAACTTCATCTTTTGTTGTGCCTCCTATCGTACTAGAAGGAGAAGATGGTGTTAATAAAAAGGAAAATCATAGCCATAAACAACCATTGACTTCTAAGGCATGGAAGTCTTTTAAAAGATAAAAATTAATGGCACATGGAAAGCAATATGCATCTATTGTAGCAAAACACTTGGTGGCGAAACTAAGAATGGGACAAAGCACTTGCATGATCACTTAAAGTCTTATCCATTGAAATGTGCGATAGACATAAGGCAAATTTTTTTGAAGGCTTTAATGACTAGTGATGGAAAAACAAAACTCGATAATGCTACTCTAAATTAAGAGAATGCAAAAAAGGAACTTGCATGCACGATTGCTTTGCATGAGTAGGTTTATCGATTGTCAACTATGTTGGATTTAGAAGGTTTGTTGCCGCTTTTCAACCAAGGTTCAAAATGGTTTCAAGAAATACAATCAAGAAGTATATCATCAACATCTATCAACAAGAAAAGTCTAGAGAGATGAAGTTGTTGGAGGAAAATTAAAGTAGAATTACCATCACAATTGACGTGTGGACTTCTAATTGAAAGAGAGGCTATATGGTTGTTACAACACATTACCTTGATAGTTCAAGGATTTTGCAAGTCAAATTATAAGGTAATATTATAATTATTTTTTAATTATGAAGTATCTAATGTGTTTAATTATTGTTTTCTAGAATTATAATTTAAATTATTGTTTTAATTAGTTTTAATAATTTTTACAGATTTTTATATGCCCTTTGTCTTTATACTGTTGAGATACTATCATAGACTTTGGTTGATTGTTTAATGGATTGGAATATTGATAGAAAGTTGTTTGTTATCACAATAGATAATTATTCTACTAATGATGTCATGATTCATATCTTGATAGGAAAACTTTTAGTGATTCATTGTGGCTTGAAGGAAGCTTGATACATATAAGTTGTTTTGCTCATATTTTGAACTTGATTGTTAAGGATGAGTTGGGGGTAATGAGTGATAGCATTGAAAGTGTTTAAGTTAGTGTTGCTTATTGGATAGCAACAACAAAGAGAGAGGAAAATTTTGAAGAAATTACTAGACAATTAAAAATTGTTGTTTCCAAAAAGTTGAGTCTTGATTGCAAAACTAGATGGAATTCAATTTACTTAATGCTTGATATGGCTTTGCATTACAAAGATGTCTTCTTTTGTTTGAAACAAGGAGTTAAAATATAGATGTTTACCACCTGAAGAGGATTGGGCAATGGTAATGAAAATTTGTAAAGAGTTGGTTATGTATTATGATGAAATCGCTAAGATGTTTTTAAGAATTAAATATCCAATAGCTAATATTTTATTCCCTAAGATTTGTGAAATTAAGATTGCATTAAGGAGTTGGTTAACCTGTGGGAATATTGTAATAGAAGCAATGGCAACATCAATGCTAGAAAATTTTGACAAGTGTTAGAGTGAGATTCATAGAATTATGGCTATTGTAGCTGTTTTGGATCCTAGATTCAAAATGCAATTGGTGGACTTTTATTTTTTAGAAATTTAAGAAGATAAAACTCAAAAGGACATGCAAAAAGTCATGAAGCTTTGTCATGACTTAGTTGATAGGTAGTGATCTAAGTCTAGCCAAAATGAGACAAACAGGCTAATATCTAGCTATTTTCCAAAGATGGCCTCCTCCACAAATGTTAACAAGCTTGACTTTATTTATAAATTCAAGACATTCCTTTCTTCTAAAGGAAATATTCTAGTTGTGAAATTTGAGTTACCCAAAAAAAAAAAAAAAAAAAAAGCATTGAGAAAGGTCAAGCATATATGTTTTATGAAATGATTAATGGTCTCATTTATGTTATACCCTGCATCGTGTTCGTGTGTGTTTATTGAGCTTTTTTCACTTCAACGCCATGCACTTTGCTTTGCTTTATAGAAGAGAGAGATTGTTGTCTTGAAAGGCAAGCACAAACAATAAAAAGGATAGTCCCTCACGTGTTCGCACGAACCACTAGAAAATGGTGAGATCATTAGTGAAAGAAAGACCAACAATGATCCTATCCTAAAGGAGAAGGAGGAGTCAGTCTTCTTTGAAGATCGAGGAATAAATTGGACAATTATGTAATTCGAAAGAAGTCTTCTACAAAGGGAAAGCTTGTATTGAGTAAGTGGAAAGGATACATATTTGGAAGAATCAATGGTTCCAATTGAGGCAGAAAACAATTTTGATATTTTGGAATGGTAGAAGGTTACTAGGATTCGATTTTCTATATTATAGATGCTTGCTAAAGATGTGTTTGCCATTCCCATATCCACTGTTGCTTTAGAATAAGCTTTTAGTATTGGTGAAAGAGTTACTAATTCATATTGTATCAAACTTAAACAAAATACAATACAAGCACTGATGTGTCTTCAAGAATTAAGTTTATATTTCTTTTTTTTAATGGTATTTTTTTTAGATCTTTAATTAAGTAGTTACTTTTTAATATAAATTTTTATGTTTGAAATAG